TTCCTGAAACACATTTTAGCCCAAACAGTTTAAAAATGCTGCACCAGTGTGAGATTTTCTGTCAGATTTCTATTGTTGTGTAGTTGCTGTGTGTTTGTGTGCCTGTCGGCTAACTGCACGTTTCTCTTTGTGCGTTTTCAGGGACGGTCAGATCACAGCGATTCTCGATCAGAAGAACTACGTGGAGGAGCTGAACAGACATTTAAGGTTTGTCGGGGTGGTGCGCTCACTTTGCTCTCCTCACCGTGGCGAGCTCGGTGACTCACCTGCTTTCTGCCTGTTTACAGCGCGTCGGTAAATAACCTGCAGGCCAAAGTGGACGCTCTGGAAAAGTCCAACACGAAGCTGACAGAAGAGGCGAGTCTCACAATGATAATCTTCAAAATCTCTTTAAATGTCAGCCTTACATGTTTTTGCCCGGCTGCAGGGACTTCCTGTTTACCAAGCTGCTTTGTTGATTTCTGTCCTTGCAGCTTGCAGTGGCGAATAACAGGATCATCACTTTACAAGAAGACGTGGAGAGAGTAAAGGAGGAGAGCTCATATCAGCTGGAGTCCAGAAAGGTGAACGCTGCTTATCTGCCGGTTTATGCAGCAGCTGACTCGAGCATTTGGAAACTTGTAGTAAAAGCAGGCGTTCCTTTTTTCTTCAGGCATTAAGAAGTGATTCAGCAGCAGACGGACAGGCGCTGGGGGAAACACGCAAGCAGCTCAAAGAGGAAACTTTGCTTCGACTGGTGCGTTTCAGCTGTTTGAGTCTTTGTGTAGCTTTAAGTCGCTGAGGCGTTGATGCCAGCGAGGGATTACACATGTAGCCGTGTCATCTGCTGACTAAGTTTGTAGTTAATAGTAACAAATGTGCTTGGCTTGTTTAGTGTGTTCATTTTAGCTGCCATTTACACAAATACAACAAAGCTTATGTGGAGAAAGAGTCAGCACAGTCCAAATTCAGTCCATTTAGCTTAGAGCTTAATTAGGACATTCATGCTTATATTTTTCTAACTGACAAAGTCTGACTTGTGTGCAGGATGTGGAGAAGGAGCTGGAGATGCAGATCGGGATGAAGCAGGAGATGGAGCTGTCCATGAAGATGCTGGAGAAAGACGTCTGTGAGAAGCAGGACGCTCTGGTGGAGCTCAGACAGCAGCTGGAAGACCTTCGTGCCATCAACCAACAGCTAACGCACAAGTCACAGGTGAGGCGGTGAGGCGGAGCTTCTCACGTCTGATTGTGAGGACGCTGCTTTTAAAAGGCGCACATCCACTTTTGTCTCTCAGGGCTTCACTCGTAGATTTCAGCTTTTCCCAGAAACTTGTAGGTGGTTAATTTCACTATTAGCTCTCTGTGAAATGATAAAGCATCACTTCCTGTCTAGAATAACGTGCAGTCAGCAGTTGATAGTGACTGACAGTAAGAACTTGGCATTTTTATTCAGTTAAGGCAGAAAAGAGGAGGCCAGTTCAATGAGAAAGTTCAAAGGTCTGCTTAACTGTAAGAAGACTGAAACTGTTCCACAAAGCAAGAATAAAATGGACCAATTAGTTTACTGGAACACACTGAAAATATTAGGCGGAAAAGGTTTTCAATCTGGCCTCAGACTAAAAGGTGCACAGGTGAGCTTCCAAACCGCTCTGAGTTTAGTCTCTTAATTTGGATTTCTTGCCGTCTTATCAGCATTAACTGGTCGCATTTATCATATCATATTTCATCCGTCCACTTGTCCTTCCTTTTTCGGACCCCTGGTCTTCACAGCCGCCTAATCCCAATCCTCCACCTGCTGTTCTTGGGATGACGAGCAGGTGGAGGATTAGATCCCCAAAAATCTCTTTTCACACAAATCTGAGTGTATATGGAGGAAAGACATCAGTTGACTAGTTTGGATGATCTTCTGCAGAGTGTCGATGCCAGCTCGAAACAGAAGAGTGAGATCATCGTTCGCATGGAGGAGAAAATGAACCAGATGTCAGGGACCATAAAACAGCTGGAGACCAGGTGAGGCTAGTTTATTATTACAGCACGATGTGCATTTGGTGCTTCCAGATGATATTTCTTATGTTTATGGATGCATTTTGTCTCTCTTCACTTTCTTTTTCTTTAATTTTTTCCATCATTTGTTCATCTGTTGTTTTGAAAAAATCAGTGACAAACATTTGGCGAAGCAGGCCCGGAACCTGAACTCTGCAGCGGGGAAGCTGCTGCAGCTGCAGCAGTAGCTCGCTGCTTTCACGAGTCTGAAAACAAACATACAACCCTGCCTAATATAGAAATAACCAAACTAGGATGTTATCTTTTCTGTACGATGCTCCTTTGTTGTTACAAAATAAAAACCATCTTCTTACGACCTCCTGCAGCGGCGCTCCAGCATCAGCTTTTAGTGTGGACTGAACGGATCCTTTAGCAGCCCCTTAATCCTCGTGTTTCCTGCCAGATGTGTTCGCCACATCAGATTTCTACTTCAGATTTCCGTTTCTAAAAACTGCCCCGGTAATGCTTTAGTCAGACATGAGATGAGTAGAGGTGTCTGATGGACTGATGTGCCAATAAACCCATGCTGAGTATTTGACAGTTGCTGTAATGTGATTCGTCCTCAAACCTGAGGCTGTCAGATATTCTCAACCGACAGGGAGAAGTGGCGTGTGGCGCCAGATATCAGAGGGGTTTGTTGGAGTCGAACGTCCAGCGCAGAAGAAGGAAGGGGCAAAATTAATGAATAATTTAAAACTGTATGTGAACATAAGTTTGGTGTCAACTGTAGTAATCATTAGGCTAATAAAACGCTAAACAAACAGAGTCTGCTTCATGGTCTTTGGTCACCGTGTCCCAGGTTGCTCTTGCATTTTAGTTTGAGTTGATCTCTCTTCCCAGCCATGTTTCCCTTCATCACATTTTTATTTTTCCATGAGTTTATGTTAACCCGCTCACCCCAAACCAGATGCAAGCAGGCGGAGAAGGAGAGGGACCTGGCTCTAGAGGCGAACCGGCTCTTCAAGCAGGACTTTGGAGACAAAATCGAGAGTCTGCAGGTGGAGGTGGAGCAGCTGAGGAAGCAAAGGTAAAGTCTGG